ATCCACAGAGAAACAGCTGGATGATGCCCTCGGGCCGATGATCGTAGGAGAAAGCGAACGGGGCCGAACGTTCCCACCTACGCTAAGCAAATGAGACAGATTCCTAATATTATATGATCAGTGGTAAAAAAGACATTGGGCATGGGCTGGGCCTGGGCGGTTACCAAGTGCGTTCTGGAAAAGCAGAACACTGCAAGGGACGAGTATTCTGTCTTAATCGGCTCCTTCGCCGTATCACGCAGAAAATCAGGGTGTAGTGACATACATGGCATGTTTCGCGAATTTGTTTTATGGCGAAGCAAAAGATCAGGGGAATCGAAGAACACACATTTTCCGCATTGTTTTGTAGTCTGTCAGGATTTACCACGACAAAATTCAGGGTCCGCAGAGGAAGGGAGATGAATGAATCAGAGATGGAAGGGATAGACCCCGCTGGTGTCTTTGGGCTGGGAAAGCCGCTCCCAAGAGTTATTTTTTCATTCAACCGCTCTCCTGCTCTACACGGATAGGTTTTTATAAGGAGAATTTTGTGAGATATTCATGGAGTATTGGGACGTTGGGTTATTGAGCAGATCACTGTCAAATATTCATTTCCTACCTCTGATGAACTTTCGCGAAAATATTGATTTACGCGCATTTGAAAGAAAAGTAATTGTCCCTGACTAAACATTTTATAAAAGGTAGCCTACATATTCCGATTGCACGTTGACTTATTACTCTCCGAACGGTTTTTCAACGGCGCCGAGTAGCCTTTCTACGTACGAATATAAGTCGTTTTTCCTTTATGCCCGAGTTGCAAAAACATAGACAGAATAAATATACTAGGTACATTGATGAGCAGAAGTATTCCAACGAATTAGGATCTAAGTCCTGTTTGGAGTATTCCAAAAGTGGCCTTTTCGAGTTCATTTAGCTTCAAATGACTTGTCCTTCCACGGGCACCAAAAAATTCCAGGACGTCATGCGATCACGTCTGCCCGTTTAAGGGACAACATAGTTAAACACTTTTCTATATTTTTTGCCAGGGCTCAGAGATGGTTGTCATGCTTTCATCGTCGTGTCGGACTAGATTTCGCTATTTCGGATGAAACCACCGGGAAGGCAATTTAACTCGTGTCGTTGATGGCCGAAAATATTTGATGAAAAGAGTAGTTGTTTCGAACTCGCCGTATTTGAATATCTCCGGCAGAATGGGAGGGGCCCAACGTTCTCTCGTGTCAGCAAGAAATTTCATGCATCCACCGAAACCGAGAAGAAAAAAAGGGAGAAATACGCCAGGAAAACTAGGAACCCCAGTTGTGAGAGAGAAACTTTCCCATTCTCGGTTCATCGCTCTCTGACCCTGACGCGCGATGGATGTCCAAGTGAGTTGTCACGCAGATGGAAATTGGCGTCGTTTACATGCACAGGTGTTACAGAAAAATATGTACACCATTTTCTCCCTTCCAGCGGACACGGTTTTCTTCCAGATAAAACAGATATGGCCCCTAATGAAAGGGTAAGGACTGATCTTGAATGGCACATGGTTTGGTTGCTCTACCTTGCATACCAAGAACGATATCGCCGTGTGAGTGTAAGCGTTTGGTCGGGACATACGAGGCCAATTAGGCCTATGATGATCAGTCCATGATCTTTGAGAAATCTCGTTGCACGTGTAACGTTAGACCGATATTTCCAGCCTAATGAACTATTTCAATGTGGATGCGGAACGTTAGGTTCTGGAGTTACTCGAACCGTCTCAACGAGATCAGAGAAGAGAATACCTCCGGGAAGCATGAATAGCATGGTGAAATAGGCGCCAGCGAGCCTATCAGTGCGAGGTGATATCCAGTAAAATAATCCTGCAATATATAAATTAGTCAGTTTGCATACTAGAGGGCTAGGAGACTCACAAACACAACCGAATGAAATTTGTTCAAATATTTAATACATATTTTCGCATTTCTGGAACCTTTGATGGGTAAATTTTCTGTCTACCCCACTCTAACCTGAAGAGAAAGAAATTAATGCGCCAATGTCTTGATCCTTTTTTTATTTAAAGGAGTATAAACAGTGTGAAGAAAATGACAACACAATGTCACGGCACTATTGGTATGTGAACGTTTCAATCACGTCCATTTCCTGCAGTGACTGCACAATGCAAGCAGACCGCTGGCTTTTCAGACACCTACAGGTCATCGCAGCGGCCTCTAATCATTTCACTTCAAAAGTGAGTGTAGTACTCGAGACAAGGTTATTTATATTTTTCATTTTTAATTTATGACCTGAATAAATAATAAATCCTACAAAAGTTGATCTTTTTAAGAAAATGTCAGTGAGTTTTATATGCGTCGGTTTCGGCTGAAATGAGCTCCGTCGCTCCTTATACGATCTAATACACAAAAGGAAATGGGACTGAAGACCATGAGATCAACAGTTCAAGAGAGGCATTCATGGGAATATAATTCCTCTAAGTTCGGTGATCACCCCCCCCTTTCCGCGCGACTGAGGCAACATTAAGATCGCTGATAGAGATCATCCTCCTAAAAGGAGAGCAAAGACGTAAGGGAAAGGTGAGAAGAACAAGAATGTGACGAATAGCGCCCGAGATGCACGTGGAGTATGTCGTTTGGACATCTGCAAGCGATGGAATGGATCTTCAGTTCAGGAAGGAACCGTCAGGTGGAGAGGGCGTACATACCTCGTAATGAGGAAAGCTGCGGGTTTGTTATCCCCATAGATTACAGGTTGCAGCCAAGCAATCCGACGACATTTACTACGAGGCCATAGAAGATAGAGGCTGGACAACTCTCTCTCGCTTGGGGCCTTGACGAATTCTCATAAGTGGACCTGGACGTATGCATGAACTTCGCTCTCGCGTACGTCAGGAACATGACAGTGTGCACCACCTACAACGGACGGGGGGATTTGTGTGCTATCCATAATATTCTTCGTACATGGGTGTGTGTGCGTTGTGAAGTCTAAGGAGAGTGCAGAGTGGTGTCCATGTGTGCGCGTGACATACAATCCCCTTCAAGCAGTGTCTCCCATATCGGATTAGAGATGACTTGAAAAACTCAGATAGGCCTAATATTACACTTCCTCACCGAAATGGGTCGTGAAAATGCAGACCAGCAATCGGCCTCGCGTTATGATTCCTCATAGAGGTGTATTACCATCCTTGGAATTAATCATCTGGTTAATTGGCTACAAGAGTCGATGGTTGATAGCCAATATTCTTAGAGCGAAGAAACGTAGGCTCCGGTAAACCTGAATACAGCGCGCGGGTTATGGCTCCATAGGAGAAATGGGAAAGCCTTTCAATAATGGTTTTCATTCCACTTCATAATGTATTGCATTTGATGAATACAGGGTATTCTAGAGTAAGAGCAAGGCAAAGCTTGGGTGGTGTGCCAATCATGACTTTCTTCCTTCTATAGGGCGGGTTCAAGTAGGTTCAGTTATCCAGAAGTTCCCATTTACAAACTAAATAATTACAAGAGGGAGACAGATCTTCAAGCCGACGATCCAGTAATCCCCTTTACGTCTTCAGATATTCGCTGAGTATACAGGGTGCTTATGAAGTTGGCTTATTCCAACAACAGTATATGGAAAATTGTGCACTGTGGAGCTATTAAATTTCATACCCATGCAAATGGGCCAATGGGAAACTTGTTCCTATAGACAACGATAGTACAACTCCAGAGTGTGCATATTGCATTCTTAGGGTATAATGTTGCCAAGACAGGTGCTAGCATTTAGTCAGTCTTGGATGATCCCACTGAACACGTCAGCCTAACAAGTGAGAGTTGCTCTTGTGCGGCATTAATACTCTAAGAGTGACGCTGCAGAGGCATTAAGGTTGAATCGACGTGAGACGCGCTTTCGTCGCGGATCAAGCAGGAAGGCGTTACGCAAGCAGATAAATTCGAATCCCTTGGGTCATAAAACGTCCAAAAAAAATCGCAACCCGACCATCTCAGATTTTGATGATTTTTGTATGCTTGGTCATTATTTATGAAACTCGTAAAAAAAAATGTCACCCCGATCGGGTCAATAGGTCACATGAAGAAAGGGAAAGCGATTGAAAATTGGTTTTCACATTACTTCATTATTTTAATGTTTGATGGAAGGGCATCTGTTCTAAAAATATGATAGTATACTGGAGTTTCTCGGAATGCTTGAAGAAGCTCTCATCAGTTCATTCTTATGGGTCATTTGGATTACTTTCGTCGATATTGTTTAGATTTAACTGTGTTGCCTTATTTCATGGGAATGTTAGCTTTTAAGTTGACAGCATGAAAAGCTTCATATTTTTTTATTATAGACACCTCTGTTTAAACCTCCCAGCATTTTATCATGATGCAGAAAACCGAGTTAAATGGTCCCACGAATAGAATAGGGAAATACGGATACTGAATAATATAACTGATGTTGGCCAAAATTGTGCACCAGTGTGCTTAATTGCTTTGCGAATACCTCTGAAACATAACAATGCATGATTCTGAGAACTAATTAAAACAGGCACACAATCCCGCACACAATTCACAACATGATGAGTGAAAACATTTTTACATTAGGTGTTCTTGGAGTTTCGCGGCAATATTTTATGAATGATGCTTTTCCAGTCGGCGCAGCAAGGTAGTGTTAACGTAGAGTGAAGGTTGAAACGTTGAAACTCCTTTAAATTTGAGAATACGACGGTGAATCGACATCGATACCAAAGTATTTGCAGCATATTCATGGATTAACGAAGTCGTTTAATGACAAGCGCAAATTCGCTTTTCATCGTATATCATTTGGGCTTCACAGCCACTAAACGACTTCACTATTCCACGAGTAATCACAAAATATTGCAAGCACCGTTGATTACAAATCAGCTAGCATTTCGTGGATATCAATTCTTAGTAGTATTCTCAACTTTTACCAAGTCTCAATGTTTCAACCTTTTCCCCAAATTGACAAAACTTGACTGCCGATTTGGTTTATACTTAACGATTTGTTCTGAAATAAGTCATTCAAATTTATACAGGAATGATCAATTTCGATGAGTATATTACATCAACAGTGATTGGATGAAACCACCAGCACGTCGTCGTCCGTCGAAATTCAGCAGGCATTAGGGGCGATTTTGCAGGGATGGATGTAGAGGACGTTACAAAAGATGGTGCGAAAGAGTTAGTAGAAAAGGGTGTCAAAGAAGGTGAAAAGAATTCGGTGAAGGAAAAAGTGGAAAAAGGCAATAACAAGTTTAGGAAGACGAGTTTGATATCTGCAAAGAAATTGGTGAAAAAGGGAGCCCAAGACGATTCCCATGGGTCAGGAAAGAAATCTGGAAAGAAAGGAATAGAAAAATCCGATTCTGTAGCGGAGGATTCCGTCAATGAGGGTGAAGATAAGGAAATGGATGGAGACGTTGAAAAAGACGAAGGTGAATCGCAGGAAGGTATCGAAAGTGGGGCTTTGGCCAAGGAAGATCTCAAAGAAGGTGATAAAAAGCATAAAAAGAAGAGCATCATGGGTAGCGCGAAGAAGTTAATGAAGTTGAAAAAGACGAAGGTGAATCGCAGGAAGGTATCGAAAGTGGGGCTTTGGCCAAGGAAGATCTGAAAGAAGGGGATAAAAAGCTTAAAAAGAAGAGCATCATGGGTAGCGCGAAGAAGTTAATGAAGAAAGATTCCCAAGACGATTCCCATGGGTCAGGAAAGAAATCTGGAAAGAAAGGAATAGAAAAATCCGATTCTGTACCGGAGGATTCCGTCAATGAGGGTGAAGATAAGGAAATGGATGGAGACGTTGAAAAAGATGAAAGGGAATCGAAGGAGAGTATGGAAGAATTGACTTTGGGAAAAGAAGATGTCGAGGGAGGGGATAAAAAGCTTAGAAAGAAAAGCATCATCGATGGGGCGAAGAAGTTAGTGAAGAAAGGTGTCAAAGAAGTTGAAAGGGTAGCGAAGGAAACTGTCCACGAATATGAAGAGAAGCTGGTGGAAGCTGGTCTCCTAGATGAGAAGTTTGATAAAGATGATGCCGAAGATGAAAAGGAGTTAGGGAAGGATGATGACGAAGAGGGCGAAGATGGAGGGAAGAAGTCTAGAAGGAAAAGTGTCATGGAATCTGCAAAGAGGCTAATGATGAAAGGGGTCCATGAAGGTGCCCATAAATCAGGAAAGAAAGGAGTGGAAGAAGTTGAATGTTTAGCTGAGGATTCCATCCATGGAGGTGAAGAGAAAGATGTAGATGCTGAAGAAGAAAGTGAATCGATGGAATGTATGGAAGATGGGACATTGGAGAAAGAAGATGTGGAGGTAGGAGAAAAGAAGCGCAGAAAGAAAAGCATCGTCGATGGTGCGAAGAATTTAGTGAAGAAAGGTGTTAGAGAAGTTGAAAGGGTAGCGAAGGAAACCGTCCACGAATGTGAAGAGAAGCTGGTGGAAATTGGTCTCGTAGGTGAGAAGTCTGATGAAGATGATGCCGAAGATGAAAATGAGTTAGGGAAGGATGGTGACGAAGTGGGTGAGAAGAAGTTTTCAAAGAAAGGGGTCCTAGAAGGTGCAAAGAAGTTAGCTATGAAAGGTGTGAAAGAAGGTGCAAAGATAGCAGCACAGGAAGGAGCTGGAGCACTTGCCGGTGCTATTCCTATGGTTTCGTTGATGACCGGAGCATATTCAGCAAGGAAAAGAATCATGGAGAACCCAGATGATCCCAAGGCTTGGGTCAAAGCTGGACTTAATGTTGTTGCTGGTGCAGCTGGATGTATTCCTGTATTCGGAACGGCTGCATACTTTGCAATAGATGGCGTCCTGTTGGCACACGATGCCATAACTGCCTCGAAGGCAGAAAAAAATAAAAGGAAATCAAAGGACAATGATGAAGAGAAAGAGGCACAAAAGGGCTGGAAGAAATTTTCTCTGCATTCATTCTTATCACATGTATCGAAGAAACCGGAGATGCCTATAGAGAACCCAGACAAATTCATGGTGCCTCTTAATATGTCAATTTATTTATTCGCTCCTCCGGGAGAATCACTTTCTCTCGATGAGATTGCAAGAGCCATGGAAGAAATGCTGAAGGGGAATTTTCACTATACCATGAATGAAACCCTTGATCATTTTTACCCACCTGAAAGTTATTGCCCCGACCTGATGCTCCTTCAGCTGACCCACGAGAATGATGGAATTGAAGTCATCCCCAACACGTACTGGGATTTCTTTCAATGGTTTCCTATTCACGGAAAGCCGTCCTTAGGAGATTTCTTGAAGCCATTAGATGACTCAAAACAAGAACCACCCACGTACCTTCTTAGCAGGATCGTATCAGAGCTCCAACAACATGACATCCAGAGCGACCACATCTTTCTGGTCGTATTTTTGTGCAGTGATAATTCCGAAAATATATCGATTAATAATGAGCAAAGGAAATTTGTTCCAACCTCAAGTGATGACGAAGAATTGTTGAACATAGCGTACTATCAATTGGCCAGTAGGTTCAGAAATATCAATAATTAAAATCGAGAGAGGTATAAAATGTGCCAGGGACATTTCGCTACTGGTTTCGTTATTGTCTTTCCCTCCAGTTCTTTCTTATTGTCATGAACTTTGACATCAATATAATTTCGTGTCTACTTGAATGTCCATTTCACTAGTTGAGGTTGTTGCTCTCATTTCAATAAAATCATTTCTCCTATTGATTCAAATGTCTGTGCGATGATTCAGTCACGGTCAGAGCTAGAAATGGGGCAGCGTGTGAAAGTTTTGCCTCCTGGATAGACTGATCCACTCGAATCCGAAGCTTGAGAGTTTTAATGATGTAATTGAAGTCCACGGAACTGAGCATCGTACATCTGACCACAACCGATGACTCATTATTACCAGTTCTCCCTCATTCCCAGGAATAGCCCCGTACACGGTACCTACCCTGAGGGACAAAACTGTCTCCATTTTCGGCAACATCCACTTTGGGACCAATTATTTCCGTATGCGATAATTGAATTACTCTTTGCGACAAATTCTTTGTAGCCAAACTCTTCTTCCATAAGTGTCTTACGTTTAAGTAGAATCTATCCAGCGGTTATGAAGAAATCTCAACTGAAATCAAACGACTGCATTCGGACGATTTCGTCCCTGGTGCCCTGGTTTCGTCTTGCGCACTGTCACGTAGATCGCGAAAAATTCAGAGAATCACAAATTTGGATAGAATGTTGAGCGAATATATTGTGCTCATCACGTGCTAATATGAGCTCGTGGCCTATAGATTAGAAGCCGTCCTCCTTTATGGCTATCTTCATTCTTCTTCAGTGACATTCTCGATTTCCGTCATCATGCGTTCACTTTCTGACAACACCCTGGGAAACGTCATCTCCCTTCTCCATGAGGGCTATAGCCTCACGGAGATTGCCAAGCGATGCAACGTTGACAGATCGTCAGTCCAAAAGGTACAAAAACATCATTTTCCTGCCTGCAGAGGGTCAAAAGCGGTTGTTCCCAGAAGCTGTCATCTCAAGACAAGAGGTTCTACGTCCGTGATATTACCTCTAGGAAGCAGGAAACAGCCACACAGGTCACCAACAAGCTTAGGGACGACGTGAGAGACGAGGTTAGCGTGAAGGCCATTCTCAGTGCCCTCCACAAAGCTGGTTTAAGTGCAGCAAACAGAAAGCTGAAACTCTCCAGCAAATATAAAATAAATAAGATTGGCCTAAAGTTCGCCAGAATCCACATGGGTTGGATTAATGACTGGAAGCGAGTCATTTGGTCGGATGAGACCAAGATGAACCGTTTTGGGTCAGGTGGACGTGCCTGGTACTGGAGGCGTGAGGGGGAACGCCGACAAGATCGACACGTTAAGCAAACTATGAAGCACGGATGCGACTCGATCATGATTTGGGGCTGCATGACGATCAAGGTAACCAGCCTCATGTGCAAGATCAACGGCACCATGGATTAGCAGCTCTACAGATCCATCCTGGAGGAAGAATTGTTGCAAACGATCGACTGGGATGATATGAAAACATGGAAACGACCCAAAAAATGGGGGTCAACCAGTGGCTGAATCAGCAGCCGCTCGAGGTCCTGGAATGGTCTGCTCAGTCTCCAGACCTAAAATCCATCGAGCATCTTGGGGCACACCTCAAATGGCGCCGTACCTAGTACGAGGAACCGCCCAAAGATATGCTAGAGGCGTGGGAGTGGGTCCGAACGGAGTGGAAGAAGATTGACCGAGACAAATGTCGAAGATAGTGAAGAGCATGCCTAGGCGACATGAGGCTGTAATGAAGCCAAAGGGATGTGGACAGAGTATTGAATTTGTTGAGTGAGTGAATAAAGTTGAAGTTTTGACTTTGGGGATAAAACTGTCCGAATGCTGTCATGTGCTTTCATTTGAGATTTCTCCATAACCACTGGATCGATTCTAATGAAGCTTTAGGCACTCATGGAAGGAGAGTTCGGCTACAAGGAGTTTGTCGCAAAGAGTATTTTCTTGAATGAAACGCTCGTGTTTCAGCAGTTTGAGATTTCTCCATAACCACTGGATCGATTCTAATGAAGCTTTAGGCACTCATGGAAGGAGAGTTCGGCTACAAGGAGTTTGTCGCAAAGAGTATTTTCTTGAATGAAACGCTCGTGTTTCAGCAGTCATATGGAGAGTAGCTTCCACTACGGGAAGTTTTCACAAAGTAATTAATGCCAGAAAAATCAGCTTCATTACGCTAAAAGAAAGTGTTATTTTGTTGGCATCCTTGGTTAGGGGTGTCCCTCAACGGGTGGCGAGTATGTCGATGGACATACTCATCACCAAGTTGGTGTCACTTCTCCAACCTCTCCAGCCTTTCTGCTGCATGATCGCTTTGTGGTATGTCCCGCAAAATCGGGTAGGCCATACTATCATACAATCAAGAGACTGATACGTTGATTTTGTCTACCAAGGGAGATGTGTTTCTCACAATTGCATTTTGGTACTCTTAGATTTGGCTTGGAGACTGTGACAGCCGCCAATTGAAAAACTTGAAAAATCTCATAGATTCCTTAAGAAAAATTTACATTTTTGGTCGGACGTCAAAATCAATGTCGCCAAAAATATGAATCGAAACGTCAATATTAATACTACTGACCTCATAATAAATAATATTAACAAATAATAACATAACATAACAAATAATAAACGTACTATCGCTGGACATGAAGCTCTCATGGTATTCTTGAGGTGCAATGAGTACTTTTTGAGCGTCCTTCGTAGTTGTTACTTAGATAATAGGAATGACATATCATAAGATGTGTACAATGTTTTCCTCTTGCGCCTCACCTTGCTCTATTTGACAAGTGCTTATCAGTTGGAAGGACGCACGTGCAGGGTGGACCAAAAAGAAGGACCGTTTTCAACATTGCGTTACACTTCGCTCACTGCATATATTTTAATCTGGTTTGCGGCATTCGGAAGAGGAATACATATACTTTAAAATGTTTTCTTGCATCTTAAATCATTTTATTCAAGAATAACTATTGAAGATATTTATTATATTTCAAATATCTTCAATAGTTTCAGAAATTCGGGAGATCATATGAACAACTTACAAGATTCGCGTTGTCGCGCACTCGACAGCATAAGGCATGTGACCTTCAGCCGTCGCCTGTCCATTTCCATTGCTAGATATTAGAAGCTCCAGCTGTCATCTGGTTAGTAGTGTGAGTAACCCACCCAGTTTGCGACCTGCACCCGTGAGTTAGTCTAGGGAACATTGCTCTTTCATAGATGTTGCATGATTTGAGTACTGAATTGTGAGAAAGGATTTGACTGAATATGACAACTTCTCCATTAAAGCCCTGTGAGAAGAGATTCCGTATTCTGTAAGACGGAATATTTCTGAATTCCCAACTCGGAATGGAAAAGAAGTACAGTACTTTTTAAAGAAGCTACGAGAAACAGGTAATGCTGCGAGGCGGGTTGGTTGCGGACGGCCACGCTCCATTCGTATGTCAAACGAAGTGAGGTCCACAAATTAGCAAGCGACATGAAACTTCGAAAGCTTGACAGGTGCAACCGACTTTTAAGGAGATTTTGCGGCAGACACGCCATTCAATAATGCTTGTTCTCATATGAGAAGAAATTCACGACAGAAACACCCAGTAACACCCAAAACGGCAGCGTGTATGGCAACGTTCAGAGGAAGGAAGAGATCCAGTCTACACGATTGTTGCACGAGAGGGTGTTATTTAGCGAGTCTGTCATGGTTGCTGCTACTGCATTGGGTGTGGGCAAGACCAGTCACATCGTAAAATATGGAATCAAGGTTGATTCCATCTGCTATTGTGAGAATATTTTGTCCTAAATGTTGCCGGAGATTGAAGATCAGATGCACGACTACAAGTTTATGCAAAACGGCGCCCCTGCACATCGGTCGCATGCAACCATCGACTACCTGAGGGCCAACTGCGCAGACTTCATCGCGCCAGACGCATGGCCACACAACAGCCCCGACTTGAACCAACCCTGCAGATTACTTTGGAGCAGCCGGCAGGAGATGGTTTATTGGGACACAATCATCAGAGACGTCTATCACCTGAAGGAGTGGATAGCAACATGATGGGAGCAGCTGAGTCAGCAATCCATCGGTGCAGATATCGCTCAAGGGCAAATAAGACTAACAGCAGCTGTGGAAGCACGTGGTGGACGCATTGAACCGTACATGAACCAGTAATTTCAGAGCAGACCTTGCCAACATCCACAGAGCAATGAAGTTTCCCTGGCAGCTAAGGTGAGTAGTTGCAACGTAATTTTTGCTTGGCTTTGATATGAGCTCCCGAATGTCTGAAACTGATGAAAACATTTGAAACGTACGCATACCATTTTAAAGCTTAATAATTTATCTTTCAAATGCCGCAGAATCAAAATGTATGCAGTGAGTGATTTGTAGTGCATCGTTGAAAACTGTCAGGTTTTTGTTTTAACCCTCCCTGTAAATTTCAAGCAAGTGAATGATACCGAGCTCAAGTGGATAAACATTGTAACCGTAATTAGTGATCCATCAGGAATATTGACATTACAAATGTATGTCTCAAGTTATAGTTGATTACATCCAAGAATCCTCCTGACGAGAGACATGAATATTCATGAAAACAGGGAAGAGGAAGCTGACTTCTCACAGCAATGATGTTAACAGAGCGTTGATGCCTGGCCTCATTGTGGGATTTCGTGGAGGTCGTCAGGTATGGGACAGAAAATAAATGCAACATATTCTCCGGTATGACAGATACATTTGTGGTTAAAACAGTGTTTAAACTCGATTTCTCAATAATTATGTTGATCATTGCACGCTCAGATCATTCAAGAGAGATGGATAATAGGCGTTTCTAATAAACCATATACCAGATGAAGGGAATAAACGTGCCACCTTTAGAATTTCTTTAACGTTGATGAGTCATTCGGTAGCACGACCTTCTTCCAATACAACATTTTCATTTGGTGTTTTACTGTCACTTCTGAGGCAGACAGAGAGGGAGAGAGAGGCGGCGGTGTCTGCTTAGGACATCCATAACATTTTGAGAAGCCAAGAAGAACCTACCCCTCTCAAAATGTTATGGATGCAAGTATGGCTTCTTTTCGAATAAATGCAGTAGTATGATACTTGCAATGTAACTCTTGAGAGTTTAAACGCTTAAGAACATATTAAAAGCTTATCTGATGATGCTTGTGTGGCATCATACGGTCATGAACTGGCGTCCGTAGAGATCGTTGCCATCAGAGATCTGTAACTCAGTTCGTACCCCAGTTAAGCTCCAAAGTGAATGGCCTTTTCAGCAATTTCTACAAAGGAAAAGAGCGAAGAGTGTCCTGAGAGTCTAAATATTTCCACATATGCGATGGTTTCAGGAAAAAGCATACAATCGCAATCGTTGTGTCAATACCCTTAATGAGAAACAGACATATTGCATAGAAACCACGGTCCCCTTTAGGATTATTGAAAGAGGGAAAGCGAACGAAACTCCTGAGCATTAGCGTTATCACATCCACTTAACGAGGCACATCGAAGAATTCTCCACAAACAAACTCTCTGGAAACTGTATTATCTCTCCTCGATATCATGAAGGCCATGTGAAGAGTGCTTGCTCGCAGACCTGGTGTGCAAAGTGGGTTCAGAAGCATATTTGCATCCAAGCTTGACAGTCTTCACGTTGTGTATGAACTACATGGTGAAAGCTTCCATTGTATACTGTATGTCGTGGGAACGAGAAAATAAAGCATTCGCCCTTGGATTTATAGACGGAGTCTGATGGATGTATTTAGTTTTCTGGCATAATATTCAATGGGCAACTCATTAGCGGCTAGGTTTCCGTTTCCCTTCTCAAGTTTTGAAAACTAATCTCATCTCACTACTGGTCGAATCTCCACTTGACTAGTGGTGAGTGTTGTACTTTCATACTCATACTCAATCTAATCGAATCGTGTCCTCCTTGATTACATTTCTAAATGTAGGATTCATTCAAGGTCACTACTCGAAACTAGGCAATATTCGCCAGAATGGCAAGAGTGCATCTTCACACTCAATACGGAGCACAAAATGGTGATGCTCCAAGGGTCGTTCGACTTCGACTCCTTTAGGTAATTACGAAGTACGTATGTATGTAGGTATTGAGGTAGTTCATAGATAAATGTTTCTTGAACCTAATATTAGCGTAAGTAAATTGTGAAGGGCTGCGGTGTCTTCTCTGTGAGGAAAGAGTCGTGTAAGTAAATAATTTCGCATGGAGTCATCAGTCGAAGCGATGACCTGGGGTCCAAGTCAAATAAATTTTGAGCGGAAGAGAAGCCAAGATGAACTTGGAACATCTTGTGTCTTTCCGAATTTGTCTTTCACCTATGCTTAATTGTTTATTTTTGATCGAGAGAAATCGAGATTCAAATCTGCTGCAGCAATTCGTTATCCGGAAGGCAATAAGCATTCCCAATGTCGTTCCCGTTGATGCCTTCAAAAAGGAATACGGAGAGGTGGACTTTGTTACAGGAAAGACTTGAAGAAGGGTAATTGGCGTGGATGTGCCTTTTGTGGCTAGGAAGACTGACTTGGGAAATTTGTTTTTATACAGTCGGTAGAATCTGATCGAGGTATTATCTATGTAATAAAATCCACTGATCCGAGGTGGCGGCGGTCGGTGGCCCGTGGCATGCGCGCGCACGCATGACACAAGCGTGTGCTCAGCGCGATCGCGTCTGCTCTTCTCATAGAATCTTCCCATGTTAGAAGAGTAGAAAGGGTTGGGCTGCATCCCATAAACATGTAAGATCGGTTAGTTTTTTCTTGTCACATTACCTTGTACTTTGCGCCTCCATTCTATTGCGCTTGAACGATTGTATCTCTAGACTGTGGCACTGGGAAAGGTTCATAGTATTCGCAATACCGATCGCATGTGCAGTCGCCGCCTGCAAGAACATTGATGATTTTGGAGCCGGCAGAGAGTTTTCATTGGTTTAAAGGAACCAGGGTTGGGAAAGGTCAAAGTGATGCGATGGAAACGCGCGGAATATGAAATTCCTGAAGTGGACTGAGACAAGGATCCCAAAGCCAACCCTTTAGGGTCGATTGTTATCTTTCGCCGAAATGATCCAATCGAAATTTCAAGTCAACCATCGAGCATTCGGAATATTAGTAACAACGCTCATCTGGATTCTCTTCATAAATTCCGAGTTGCTCAGCAAGGTCAAGAATTTAAGGAAACCTTTCGTGGTGAGAAGGAATATCCTTATTGTATTCATGAAGATCACGTGATTTACCATGACCATGACGAACAAGCTCCCTTCCTCTGACTTGGGGATACAGCGACACTGAACGAGCACGCCTGACAATGAACGCATATTTTCATTGACATTTCAAAAGGGCAAATGACGCATGCTAACCATTTCTGTAAATAATAATATATTCTCACTGCAGTCGCATCCCCCTCGAACTTTTCAGAATCCTCCCCGCCTATTTCCCATTCGATGCTTGATCTTCCGCAATTTAAGGGATATTTTTTAATGAGCGATTGGTTACGAAATGAGGACATCATGCTACAAATAATTCCATGACATCGGAGGAAAACCAAGGGCGAGAATGGAGCAGTCGGGGCAGGTGTATACGAGTGACGTCATTTGCCCTAAGGCTAGAACTGCCATTATTAGGGACTTCGCTTTCGACCCAACCTTCGCTACACTTCTAACCTGGGAATCTTCTGCCTCCCTTTGGATGTGCGTCTCCCTCTCTCGGCACGCACTTTTTTCCCCTGTCGTTGCGACTGTCGGTTCTATTAACGAGAACGCAATAGCCGATGGGGGGGGGGGGGGGACATAAGAGGACAAAAATAAAATAATGGAAAGGGCAGGATTTGAACCCAGGATCTGCTGGTCGAGAGTGCTACCACTACACTACCGCACTATGATTGCTTAGTCATATTTCTCAATGCCATCCCTAATCTTACAACGTGAGAGAGAAGCAATCTACGCACTTCCCCCCCTCTCCCTATTTAGGGCGGTCCGAAACGGACTTTTCCGCAGGTACGTGTAAAACGTCCCTGCGTATTACACTTGTTCGTCCCCTTTCATTTCCAGAGGAAGGATGACCTCGCCGGTATGAAATTTCCGACCATATATTTCTCGGGATCCCGACCCGGGGTGGGGGGTCTGGACAAAGCGCATTATGTCCGAGCAGCTGCTAAGTAGTGCGATGAAACGAATATTGTACGCGATAGAGCTTACTGGTTCCTCTTAGAACCTATTGAGGCAGCTATCGGGGCTCGCGCGAGTAGCGTGAGGCCGCCAATAAAAGCTGACATACCACATTAAATCGTCGCCTTTAAGGACAATGTACCGTCTTGATCTTTGGGTTTCCCTTCGTCTTCGCTTGGCGCCAACTTCCCGTCATTCGCAATGACGATTTACGAAATGCAGAGGCAGACCGATAAATTAGAGGTGCTCTTGCCGCGTCCTGTCTTCTCACATGGCCAGCCAGGGAGCAGGGGGGAGTGTGCGGACCGCCTCCCATGCCCATGTGCGCATTCCTTTCCTTCAAATACTTCCGTGATTTTGCACGGGCTACCTATTAGTTATTTAAAAAGCGCGTTATTTCGGGCAAATGCTACGAGTATTTGCGTATAATAATTCGGTTTGAGCGAGGATGCGTGCCTCGTTCCTCATTAGTAGGCTCGTGAGAATAGTAAATGGAAGGTATTAGTAGAGAACGTGTGCGTTTTGGAAACGGAGGATGCGACGAACTGCCACGCAGTCGGTGTCAGGTACTCAGGTGAGTTTCCCCATCACTCGCCTACAATATTTTCCTCTTGACTTTCTGTCTGACCTCCCTTTATTCCGGCCGTATACCGGGTAGCCCCCAAAAAAGCGTCCTTTTTGATACTTAATAAAAATCCGCCGTGGATCATCTCCGTTCGTGATGTTTTCGTATCACATTGGAAGCACCGTAAAATGTATTCTTATGAATCCTGATTCATACCCACAATGTCCTTGTCGTTGTATTGTACACGTCGTAGATATTTTACTATTGTCGTGCGTAGTAGTATCAGAATCTATACCACCCAGAATACTATGATTAGAACT